TTGATACAAACTTGAGATTAATTTGCTAAGACATATTGTACATATACTTCAAATCTTGTTCAAGTTATTTTACCTATACATCTCATTTATCAATATAATGCAAATTATTTCTAGTTCTTGTATCAACTATATAAAAGGGAAATGTATGTGAGGAATTAGTCACCTATTACAATTGAACTTGTAATCACATTAGGTATGTTTTCAAAGTCAAACAGATGTACTTTAGATAGATAAGTCATCTTTAAACACTTCAGGGGCCTATACAATATGGGTTTTAAAATGTTTTAATAACATACATATTTTTTATGACAATGGGACATGTCTGCTCCTGGCAGCACCAATCTTCTTCAGAGATGATGATGAGCATCGAAGAAGCTCCATGTGGAGTTTACTTTCTTTGTGGCAAAAGTAACCACTGGGCAAGAAAGTGCCCTTCCCTCAACTGCTGACAGTGTGCTGTCCAAATTGGACAAACAGGACACAAAAGAGAGTGACTGCAAACCTTGCCAAGACAGGGCAAGACAGCCCTTCAGATAGTCCTGCTTCACAGAAGAGTCTGTCAGAGATGCTAGGCCTATAGGCCGGAGATAGACACCCCAATGTTGCAGAGGAATCTTAAGTGACTGTCCAGGTAGCCAACTGTTTTTGTCATTTCTCATATTTTTTGGAAGTCACTTGCTCACAGTTCCTGTTTACTCAGTTAAAAATTTTTCCTTCTTGGGTCTCTGAAGGAGTTGGAGACGAGATAGTTACCGTTTTCCTTGTTTACCAGACTTGAGAAAGAAACTCTCCAAAGAAATGTAGTGTAAAAGGTTGAGAGACAAAGATAATTTGATAATAAAAACTAGAATAGTAAGTAAATTAGGTACAAGACTTTGGACTTACTAAGATAGGATAGATTATGAAGTGTTTTCTCTGAATTTGTCAAATGCAAGTAGACTAGAGATTGTTGATGTACTTACTGCCTGTATATTATATATACTTATTGTATATAGTTTTTCTTATATTAGTTGTAGCCTTCTTCCTTTTGCAGTAGACAAAAAAGGGGAGTTGTGGTGCTATATTATTTATGATTTGTTAAAGCTTGCCTGAGGATTCAGAAAGCAAAGCCAACCTCAAGCTATAGAGATCAGGCAGTGGTGATACACACCTTTAATCCCAGAAGCCATAGAGCTAGGGAGTGGTGGCACACACTTTTAGTCCCAGGACTCATGAGAGGTATTTAAGACAGGAACAGGATCTCAGAGCTGGCATCCATTCTCCAGCCACACTGAGGATAGAACAGCATTCTGAGATTGAGTCTTCCAGCCATGCTGAGGAGAGGCAGCAGTCTGAGTCTTGTTGAAAGCCTTTTGCCTTTGAGGATTTGTGGGGACAGGACTGCCATTTCAGCGAGGAAGAGGTAAGATCTACTGACTTGGCTGCTTTGCTTTTCTGATCTTCAGAGTCTCTTATTTATCATGCTACATGTGTCCATACAAGCTATTGACATGTTTCCCTAAACTAGTGGCAACCGAAAGCTAAAAATGTTGATTAAACTATTTCCATGTTATTTCAATACCAAATGTGACCACTCATTTTAAATGTAGGTGATTTTTCTCTAATATCTATAGCATAGTTTTTATTATTAAAGTTTATTTAACATATAAAGTTATTTTCTAAAAATAGAATAATTTGGTCTCAAATATACTTATGACATGTCATACAGAAGATCATAACTGGGTTTAATTTTGCTTTTGTGGTGAGTTACCTTACTCAACATCATTGCCTGGGCTCTATTACAAAATAGATATTCAAAATTCAAATGTTACTTCTTCATTTATAACATCCATCCATCCATCCATCCATCCATCCATCCATCCATTACTTGCACCTGCTGCTGCAGACAGCACCTGGATAGCATGCACAACGGCCTGGGTTAAGTTTCCAAGAATAAAACAAACCAAAATGAGTACCTGCTGTTTACCCAGCAGCATGTTAGGTCTACAGATACACAAGTATGCAAACAATATCAGCCATGGAGTAAGACTCTGTGCTTAATTGGTTGAAAATTTATTCCAGAGAAGTTAAGGTAAAGATATATGCACGTCTGTGATCTTTTGGAACTTTAGATTATATGACTGTCTATAGTTCTTTGGTGCATACTGTAAACCTCGTTAACCTTCCCCATTTGTTACTGTACTTCACCAAGTGGAAGCACTAACATACACTGAGACCTTGCAAACCTCTCACAGTCTTTCCCAATGCTTTTGCATATACGTGTCTTCCAACAGCTCTCCTCACTCGCCCAGTCAGCAGACTCATTCATCATTTAAAACCATCATCATGTGAGGATTTCCCAGAGCAGCAGGAGAGCTTCTCCTTCTCCCTCTGTACCATTTCATTATTTAGGTATTTATCTGTATTGCTTTGATATAAACATCCACCAACATATTACTCATTGTTCCTGTTTATACTGAAAATTTTGTGGGGATAGGAACATCTGTCTTGCTACTTTGAATCCTTATTAATTAGCAGAATGCTTGGCATGCACAAACCTTCAGTAAGTATTTGCTGAACTAAAGAGCAATTCTTTCTATCATAACTTGTTCAATTTTGTGGAAATATACATACATATGTTTAAATTATCCTGTAATTAGATGTGAATATAATTTAATAAAATATAATGTTTTTAAACATTCAAATATATATTCTAATAGAAGAAATTACCATCCCTCTAAAGGTCCAATAAAATTATGCCACAGGCTCTTTTCTAAATTTTTGATATTTATTTCCCCACTCTCCTGATTTTGTTCCAACATTAGGGGTATTGCAGCCTCACCACACTACATTCTAGTAGCTTGTCGTTGTGTCTGCAGCCCCTTCTAGATGTAAGCCACCTGGAAATGAGGTCCCGTTATTCCCATCTTGGTAGCCCTGGTGCATTGCAATGACCAGAGGGAGAGGCTGAAGAGGTGTCTGTTCAATTCATGAAGAGCAGACTAATTAGGAGACACGGAGCAAACTTAGGTCTCTGGTTCTTTACTTTCTATTAGGAGTTGATTTTTGGTTGTCTTAAGTGAACAAAATGTGCAAAATTCTGAACAAAGCTTTGGCTTTGCAGTTGAATGGGTCTTAGCCCATGGGATGTGGTAAATTATAGAATCAAGGAGGAGGAGCAAAAGACTTGCTGTTCAAATGTTTATGTTTGCTTTCTGCTTTCCAGCGGAAGTCTTTCTACTGGGATAGATCATAGAAAAGCAATTAGGTCCTTTATATTGAAAAAAAATGGATCTATCAACTATTTTTTGCAGAAGTTCAAGAACACAGGGATCTTCCTCTGTTAAAACAATATGAATCCCCTCACTTGCTTTTGTCCTAACTGCAGAATGTAAGAGCATTTTTAGCTGAGCTATAGTGTTTACGGTTTGTAGGGGGCAGCATGGGAGTGTGGGTGCCTTGTAAACCTCTTTAGATAAGCTGGGGTGCTGGACATTAACTCTTGTAGAAAATTACGTACACATGCCTTTTTTAAACAATCGTGTTTTCAAAATGTGATGAATTTTAAAGCTCAGAGATTGTTTTACACACACAGTGAGTTTTATCACTCCATCCTTCTCTGCCCACTCCTCCCAGATACGCCCCACTTGCCTTTCCGCCTTTAAAAAGAAAACCAAAAGCCATCAAACCCAATGTGGGCTGTCTAGGCTGTCTATGTGCTCCTGGGTATATGGCCATATATCCAAATGAGGCTGCATATATGCAATGTGGTTAACCTGCTAGGACCCACACCCAAGCATGACATTTTGAACTTGGTGTGAAGGTTTAGCATTTCTAGGGAGACCCAGTGTGTACTGCACACATTATTCCCTGTTAGTGAGTGGTACTGAAATGCATGTTCACATAGGAATCTTGAAAAGTGACAGGCATAAAGAAACTAACAAATAATTATAAAGCTTTGGCAACTTTAAAAATAAGCAATTTCAAATGAAGACCTTGATTTTGCTTTCTCTCCACATACAAATACCTTTTGGACTCATGGAAACAATTCAATTAATAAATATATAATTACAGCAGTGGTAGAACTTATCAAACATAGTTCCCTAACTTGTGCATCTCACAGGATCCATCCAGAAAGTTAGGCCCTTTAATTGAATCAATGTGGAAAAAAATTCAAAAATGGTGACAGACTACATTTCTTTGCAGGTATAGTTACAATCCTTTCAATACTGTCTAAATGGATTTAAAAATAACACCACAAAAATTTTTGAATCAGCATTTTATAAACAGATGATCAAATTTAATTAATTTTCTCCCCACAAAAGGAAATTACTATTTGTAAATTAACAGCGCTCATCAAAAGTCATGGACCAGGTAATAGACTCACAAATCAGACTGTGAACTCAGACCTACTGCATTACTTTTTCCTACTCTGGAGACTTTCCATATTTTTTTTCTGTCCTTAACAATCTGGTTCTTTATTTCCAGGTGAAATCAATTTCAGTTGTAATTTAGATAGACATCTAAGTAATTAACTGATAATGACTAGAAAAAATATATTAAAACATTGTATGGGTTCATATAAAAAGTAACATCATTTAAAAATTTTCTCTATGAGATGTGTATGCACACTTAAATATCTAACCTGAAAAATTTAGCAAGTGAATACTGAAGGATTAATATAGGCTTAAAATATCAGTGTCTGAATATGGTAGCAGAGTGTGAGATGTTGATTTTATTCTTAAGAAGAAGTGTGTGATAGCTCGGAAGAGGGCCATTTCAACAATCTATTGGACCAGTGAACAGAGCAGGCAGAAATGAGAAGTGAGATGGAAATCATTTCTCCATGTTGTTTATAAGTGGTTTCAGCTCAAAAATCTAAAGTAGGGAACATACGACTTGCTATTTTTCCAAACCTAAGTGACCTTTGACTTTCGGATTAAAGCCACAATGGAACCCTCACATTTTGTTTACAGACAAAAGTTGCCACGGAGTCCATTCCCAAGCTCCAGGGAGCTTACCTGTCTCCATTTTCCCATCCTGTGCCGCAGGCCCATCAGGGATCACACTTTTCACCTGTAGAAACTCGTCGGGCTCATCGCCACCGATGATAGTAAACCCAAAGCCCATGTTGCTCTTCTTGAGGGTGGTGCTGAGGAATGTTCCCTTCAACTGGGATGCATCCCGGGTGAAGAGCGGCTTTTCTGCATTGACCAATACAAGGTAAAAGAAAAGGCATCGTGAAGGCAAGTTATCAAAGAACAGCCAACACTGAGCAGCAGTCCCTGGGAATGCGGGAAACTGACTGGGTAGATGCAAGCAAGCCTGTGGGTCACTTGGAGAGGAAGGAGCCAGACAATTAGAGCACCCATCCTGCAAATACAGAGGCATCCCAAGCATCCAGGGAGTCGTGGGAGGCTGTGTCGTTTACCGCAACTTATCAGTATGTGCTTTCTTGAAATCAGCCCTCTTGAGGTTCAAATGGGCTGAAAGCCTTCAAATACCATCTGACTTATATCTCTCTAGTTACGAGAGCTCCCAGGGTGGAGGGGTGTGTGAGTAGCTGCTCCTGCACAGAACCTTGATTGCATGAGGTGGAAAATCAAACAGTTGGTTCAAGGACATTACACATGGGCAGATCACCCCAATAGAGAAACAGTGTATACTTGGGTGTGTACTTAAAGATCGAAGCTGCTTAGACTGTGTACCTGGGTGTGGGACTGAGTTCATTTTTGTTTACGCTTCTATGCTGTGAGATGTTATAAATTCAATCAGATACATCTCTACTGGCCAGAGCGTGTTTAGTATACTTTAAAATGTGAGAAAACAGCAAGCCAACATTTCTAAAAATGGTTATAAATGTAAAGGTGACGCATTTTGAAATATGTTGACATATTCAAATCATATGTCCAAATAATCTGACTAGCACTTGAACCCACTCAGCGAGTTTGGCCACTCATTTGGATTTTTTCAACTATGAATTCTGATAAATATGGTTCCAAGCACATTTAATGCTTTAAAATTATAGTCATACTAGGAAGTAGAATCAATTATCTCTTTAATTTCACCAGTGAGAAGTACTTGACTTTGTCTGGCTAGCTCAGTTCGTAGATCATGAGGCTTTAAGTATTTTATTCTAGTTACTTTGTTGAGATAGATCTTGATCTGTAATCCAGGGGGTCTTGAACTCTTAGTTCTCCTGCCTCAGCCTCCCGTGTGCTAGGATTCCATGTACCGCCACACTTAGCTCTTCAGATAAGCATATCAGACCCTTTTTGAAGGTTCTATGATCTGATACAGTAGCCAAACTGTAAGTGGGAACTCAGCTACATATTTTGCATGATACTCTTATTGTTACGTTTTCGGTTTCATAGGATGAACTATTAAGCAATGAGTCACTACGATGGAATTTTAACTTATCTGTAGGTTTACCTGCCACATACTATCTTTGTTAAAATTTTCTTTCAAATGTAATTTATGGAACCTCACATATAATCTTCTCTGCTCTGCTCACCAAAGCAGTGCTTACAGGCGCACCTGAGAAACCTTCATGTTCAGAAACCTTTACATTCATTGCAGAGGGCGTGTAATGTGAGCCTCACCTTCAAAGCCCCTTTTGTGTTTATTTTTTACGTAGTAGAAGCACAAAGCAGGTGAAATGTGTGCAGCCACTCATTCGCTAGGTGACTCCTGGGTGTAGTGAGGTCCGCAAGCGGCCCTGGGACATACCGAGTGGCCACGGCGTCCCTCTGCGGCCTGGCAGATAGTAAGGCAAGTCATCCACACTTCAGGACCTCTCCGGGCCAGTATGGGGCAAGATGGATTTGGGCCTAGGTAATGTCGCTGAAGAGTGGTCTACTGTCTCAAAGGAAAACAAGCCTCATTCCCATGCTTGGCTTTTCAGAGACTCTGCAGTTTATTGTCCTACTATCAATGTCCCACCTGGCAACAAGTAAAATTCCTGTGAGGTACTGCCCAGTGGCCTTAGCATAGCTGCGGAAGCTAAATGCATTAGTTCAAAAATAATGTGAGCACCCAGATAAGGCTACCGGAAGGGTCTAGAGAAGGCAAACCGGGTATTTTTACCAGGCCCTCCCACAGACACGTCTACATAGGAGAGCGAGCAGTCCGTCCAGCAGTTTGCTTACTCCCTGCACGCTGCCAGACACCGTACCTCGAAAACCTGGGGCCTGCAGGGGCTTTGGTCCAAGTTCTGTGTGGGGCATGTTATGCTGTCGTAGCTTCCTTTTTGCTTCCAGGACAGGGTTTTCAAACTGCGTTCTTCTGTTTATGTGGCTGAAAAAAGAAGGTTTCAAATGAGGGCATCAGTGGGACAAAGTCATTTAGGAGAACATATTCATGGCCCTATGGAGAGCGGGGGATTAAGGGACACCTTATCTGACTACAGGCAAATGCCTTACCCAGCGTGCAGCAGGCGTCTGAGGGGGCTGGCCTGCGCACAGTACACAATTATGTGACAGTTCAGGGAATTCAATGACTCTTATCAAATGCTGTTATATTTGCCATATGCACGAGCCAGCCAAAGGAACCAGACGGCATGTGCTTTCTGGCCTACTCTGGCCATGGGAGGAGTTTGATGCGTTAAAAGAAATGGTCAGCAAATGCAACAAGCAGAATATCTCCAAAAAGGTGTGCCATCTAAGCTTTATAAAATCTCAATAGCAACAGGGTAAGTGAGAGGTAAATTCACTGATAATGCAGCAGAAACTAAGAGTAAGAATAATTCATGCATTTAGTGTATGTGTATCTGTGTGTGTGCATCTGTGTGTGTGCGTGTGTGTGTACATCTGTGTGTGTGTGTGCGCGCGTGTGTGCGCGCATGTGTGTACAGGTGCATGTGCATTTCTTTGTGCGTGAGCGTGTGCGTTTGTGCATTCTTGTGTGCGTGCATGTGTGTGCAGAAGATGAGCGCACATGCACATTTACAAGAGAACAACTTGCAGGCGTCGGGTTGGTTCTCCCCTTCCATCATACAGATTCGGGGTCACACACAGGTTATGAGGTCTTCGGGTAGTGCCCTTTCATACTGAACCATCTCACTGCCCCCCCCCACTGTTAGCACTCAGGCCTGAACTGAAAGGCCAGGATTCAGGCAGAAACTTCTCAGACATGACAGAATGCCTGTGTAGGATGTTCACTGCTGAAATCCTTTGCACCCTGAGATGGCAAACTGGTAGACAGACCGGCAGTGATGGGAGGCAGCTGTAGCCCAGCTCAGCCAGCGCTACGGCACCGGAAAACACGCATTATTACAACAGGTTGTTTGCAACTCAGAGAGCTGGCAGCAGCCTTGCTTAAGAGTGGTGGCCATACCACCCCATCTCCAGGACATATGCCACCCCATTTCCAGGACAGCCACCCTGGCAGAGGGCTGGCATGTACAGAGATCTCAGTTCTCAAGTGCTCTGAAAGCATGAAGGTGGTCTGACAGCTAACTGCGTGCGGTTACCACAGATGATGACATAGGTAAACAGGCAGGCAAGTGGCTACCCTAGACAGACCACACGCCCAGTAGAGTGAAATTCTAGAGTTTAAACATCATGTCTATTTCTGCAGTGGGTCTCTTATCTACATGATTTCTCTTTCCAATACGTGATTTCAATTGGCAAGTACATATAGTTAACATGCCTGTGCATGCGTGCTTCCTCTCTCCCCTGCATCTATTATACTTCCTAAAACTACACATCAGGAAAGAGAGGAGATAAAGTAAAACCTCACCACCCTTCTATTGTAAGGCAGATAGCTGGTGAGGCAGAAAGGCAGTTGGAAAGAAGGATGACTGCATCGCCTCTAATGATTTCTTTGTGGGAGCCATGGCTCTCTGCCACGCATTCTCAGATCAATCAGACCTGCATCCAAATTCTAGCTCCTGAGTAGCTGAGTAAACCTTTGGTAACTTGTTAAACCTGAGTCTTGTTAAACTATTCTCTAAAATGGGCACAATATTGTCTACTTGAGTGGCTGAAAGAGTTAAATGTGGCAGCCCATGCTAGCACATCATTTTAGTATTGACATGTTTAATTACTAGCAGCCATTATCACCGCTCACATCACCTTAACTACCCTTGTCATTATTTTAATCACCTCATCACTGCCAGCATGAATGTCCTTGTGGGGGACCTTAAAACCACTGGAGTCTTCGCTCCTATGGCCTCGTTCTATTTAAATGGTCTTTCTTAGTGATTCTTACTCTCTACTCTATGGGGTTCAAAACAACTCTTGGGAAAAAATTCTTTTCCACTGGAATTAAAGCTCTGTGCATGAAGGAGCCAAAGCGCGGCAGCTTTTCAAGCCTCTTTACTCTGTAAACACAGATGGACTCACGGTGAGTCAGGAAGGCTGGAGTTGGGGGCTCTTTCTCCTTCCCATCCTCCAGTAACTTTGTTAGCAAACTCCTTCAAGTTTTCCTTACATGATATTGTAGCTTTACCTTTGGCTCTTTTACCATGAATGATTTTGATGTTGACACACTTGGGGTAAATCTAAAAGGCAATACGTCTTTCAAAGCCATTTTTTCAAGCGACATTCAATACATCCGTAGTGTGATGTTTGATCAAACCAACCATGTGGCATCAGGGGACAACTTTTAAACTTTCTTTAATCATATGTATCTTTCCTACTGATTGAAACTTAAATGCCCTGAAGGCTGTGTGTCAAAAGCTTGGATGGTCCTCAGCTTGGCGCTATTAAGGAGTGGTGGGAACTTTTAAGAGGGAGTGAGAGGTCTGAGATAATTGGGGAATGTCCTACAAGAAAGTGTGGAGCATTGGTTTCCCTCTCTTAGTTCCTGGCCATAGGGAGAACGGGCCTCCTCTGCCTGTCTCATTATGATATACCATATCATCACAGGCTTGGCACAATAAGGACAGTTGGTCATAGGAGGCAAATCTGGAACTCAGGAAGAATAAACCCTGTCTCTTGTAAGGCTTAGACATCTTGTTATAAAATGGCAAGCTGATTCAACACTACCATTACTATACAATAGGGACATTAGCATCTACTCCTTGGGACTGCTGTGAGGATAAGAGAGTTGTTGGCCAAGAGCAGACTGTTGGGAGGAACAACTGTGAAGTACTGTCTTGTGTTTTTGGAGCAGTTATTATTTATTACAGTTAACACTAATGATGATGTCGTTGATGGCATTACAATGCCATTCCTATGTCGACAGCCCCTTCCTAACCATGTCACAGAGGCATTTCTAGCAAGCATCATGCTTCTTCCTGCAGACATTTAATTAAGTTCAAACAGATCCTTTTATTACATCCTCAGTGAGAAGATCTGAGGCATTTCTAAAGAACAATAAGTAAACAAAATCGGGGTAAAATTATTTAAATCTAGGTGTGAGACAAAACTGGTGACACAGGGTCCTATTTGTTTAGTAGAGTCTCATTGTAAATTAGCTTTGAGCATTCCAGTTGCTTACTAAACAAGAGAGGAAACAGCTACTCCCTTTAGAATGTTTAAGATTAAGTCCGAGTTCAGAAGGATGCAGATTATGTCCTTAAGACACCCTGTTGTTAAGTTTTCTGGGCATTTCTCTCTTCATCTTTACTGACCATTAGTGATAATTTTCCAACAGTGAATTTCATGGTTTTACCAAACTTATCATGATGCTTTAATGATGGGTTGTCATGTTTCTGTCCTTTCCTACATTGTGAACTCTTACATAAGGACCTAAGTGACATTTATTGTTATATACTATACATATAGCAAGCCAAAAGGCACGTAACTATTTGTTATTGTAGAATATTTGTTAAAGATGTATTCTTTTATGCTGTGGAATATTTGTTCAATGATGTAAGGATGGGTTTCATTCTTTTATGTTGCATTTGTTTAACTCTGTAAAGCTGTGTCATTTTACCTGTCTAAAACACTTGATTGGTCTTATAAAGAGTGGAATGGCCAATAGTTAGGCAGGAGAGAGAAATTGGTGGAGCTAGCAGGCAGAGAGGATGAATCAGCGAAGAGAAAAGGAAGAGGTGGAGTGAGAAAAGGAGAAGGATAGGAGGATGCCAGTGGCCAGCCATAGCCACACAACCAGTCATGGAGTAAGAAGAAAAGAAAGATATATAGGATAAAGAAAGGTAAAAAGCCTAGAGGCAAATGCAGTTAAAGAGAAATGGGATAATTTAAGTTGGGAAATCTGGCTAGATACTAGTCATTCCAAGGTCAAGCATTCATAAGACTAAGTCTCCATGTATTTATTTGGTATCTGGGTGACAGGTCCCAAAAGAGTAAAACAAACAAACAAACAAACAAACCAAAAAACAAAACAAAACAAAAAAGAAATGACAATTTGTTAAACAATGTGATGAATATATATTAATTGTTTTCCAATATATGCCAGAGACTATCCTGTCCTACATAAAGTACTGGAGGGAAAACTCAACTCAAGGAAGCTAGCTATACTTACAAAAACGTAGGTAATACATAATCGCACATTACTAAAAGCCAAAAAGGGGGGGAGTAAACACACACACACAATACTACCACCAAATCCAAAAACTTACAAGAATCAACAATCAATGGCCATTAATATCCCTTAATATCAATGGTCTTAATTCACCTATCAAAAGACACAGGCTAGCAGAATGGATACAAAGACAGAATCCATCCTTCTGCTGCAAACAATAAACACACTTTAACTTCAAAGACAGACATTACCTCAGAGTAAAGGGCTGGGAGAGGATTTTCCAATCAAATGGACCCAAGAAACAAGCTGGTGTAGCTATCCTAATATCTAACAAACTAGACTTCAAACTAAAATTAATCAAAAGGGATGAAGAAGGTCATTCCATATTCATCATAGGAAAAATCCATCAAATACAAAGGCACCTACATTTGTAAAAGAAACATTACTAAAACTAAATTCACACACAAAATTCCACTCACTCCCAGTGGGAAACTTCAACACCTCAGTCTCACCACTGGACAGGACTACCAGACAGAAGCTAACAAAGAAATAAAGGAACTAACAGAAGTTATGACTCAGTTGGGTTTAACAGACATCTATAGAACATTCCTTCAGAACACAAAAGAATATATCTTCCTATCAGAGCCACCTGGAACCTTCTCTAAAATCCACCACAACTTGGTAACACAGCAAACCTCAACAGATACAAAAAAAATGGAATAACCCCCTGTATCTTATCGGACCACCATGGTTTAAAGCTAGAATTCGACAACAACACAAACTGCAGAAAGCTTACAAACTCAAGAAATTGAACAATGCTCAGCTGCATCCCTCCTGGGTCAAGGAAGAAATAAAAAAAAAGA